ATCACTTTCTTTTACTCTCAGTAAAGAAAGAGAATAGGAAAGGAAAAGCTTTGACGGGCTGACAAAGTTTATCTAACTTGTATACAGATTGGTGCGACACATCGCATTTGGGCACATTAATCGCAGCTGGGTAATGTTAGGCTCACAATCACTAGACGCTTTTTATGGTTATGAATGATAATATATTGTTAAGAGAGTTCAACTTTCATCTAAATATAGTCTTAAATAAATTGAGCACTGGCAAGACTGTCAAAGAATTAAAAAATATATATATAAATTGATTTAGCTAGCCGGGTTATGAAAACCAATTATAGTAACTTAGTGTTTCTATCTATTATCTATTATCTATTTATCTATCAGTTATTCAGATATCCGAGTGATCTTATTTTATTCAAATAAATGGATATAAATAAATAAATAACAGATTATCCAAATTGGAATTCTATAGTAATTAATTTTTCATAGCCTTATTAAAGAATTAAAAGATTTTTTTCTTTTTTAGAACAAAACTAGAGTAACTATATTGCTTTGCTCTAACTCAACAAGCTCTAATAAGTTATGTTTACTAGTTATTGGCACTGCCAAAAAACTACGATTTTTTAAAGGAATAAATATATTGCAACTACTAGTAACCTATAGAAATACTAAAAAAGCATGAATAAGAACTAACATTTGGAAAAAATAGTTAGAATTTATTAATAAAAGTTTCTGCATTCAAAGTAAACAAATCCTGCTTCTTGTTGATAATGCATTCTCTTACACGGTTTCAGAAACAAGTAATCCAACTAAAGTTCAAGATAATGCTGAAAAATCTGCATTGGAAGATAAATCTGCCAAAGAAATTGAAGAAATTCGAGAACAGCTCCAGGATATAAGGAAAATCACAAAAGAGATCTAATCCCACTAATTCTGGCTAATCAAGATAAATTTCAGACAAATTTACTTCATAAATATTACTGTATATTATCTTTCGCCACTTACAATAGCTCACTTTCAACTTATAGATGCTAGCATTATTAAAAATTTCAAGTCAAAATACAAAAATATATTGTTGTTATCTGTTTAGCTAATTTGAAAAAAATAAAGAACAAAGGTAAGAGTTTGTCTTTAGATTTAGAAATTGAGTCAAAATTGATAAAAATAAAGCATTTGTAAACTACAAGAATTTAGCAAAAGTAGATAATTTAATTGATGATTTTCCAGTCAACTGAAGCATAATCTTAATAAAATGTGACTCAGATTACTATATAAATTTACTATAGTGCGAATGTGGTATATATACTCTAAAACTTTTTTTTATACTAAGTTAATCATCTTTCTTGCTTAAGAGACTTTTGTAAAGCTTGTCAAGACGCATCCAATGGTGGTTAAAGCGTCAAAATCGGCCTAGTGAGTACTGAAATATCTTTAAAAAACCTCTCTTTTACTATATAAATTTCTTTGCAAATAATACTATTGTTTGACTCTTGTTTGCAAAGAAGTTTACATAGTAAAAGAAAAGATATTTTAGTACTCACCAGGCCGATTTTAATGCTCTAACCACCATTAGATGCATCTTGACAAGCTTTACAAAAGTCTCTTAAGCAAGAAAGATGATTAATTTAGTATGAAAAAAGTTTACCTTGGGCAAACGCCATATTCGCACTAAAGTAAATTTATATAGTAATCTGAGTCACTTTTTACTAAGATCACGCATCAGTTGACTGGAGAATCATCAATTAAGTAGATTCTTTACGTTTTACTATCATATTTCTTTTCATTCTGAATGCTGTACTATCTATATATTAATATTTCATTTGTACTATAATTATCCAAACCCTTTTAGTATTGACACAGTTAATCGTAGTTAGGTATATTTGGTATTAACTTTTGTTTTGCTGGACTGTACCGTTTTTGTTAGCTTGCACAATGGGTATTTGTTTAATTAAAACAGAACTTTTAACAACTAGATTTCAGCGCCGAGTTACCTCAATGTAAAAAATGGATAAAATATTTGTATAAATTGACTTGAAGCGATAATTAAAAATTATATGAATAAAATTTTGATTATAATGTATAGATAGGTACTTAACTATAGATTTTAATCTCACTGATCTAATTTTGAATTTTATATATTCTTTGTCCTGCATATGTCTGACATATTGGAATACGTTAAATCACTAAAGAAATTAATGTTTAACTTGCCTAGAAAATGAATTAACCTCAACTTATATGATTAAGTTTATATGACTTGCCTAACAAGTCTTTTTACAGTGACGAATTTGTGAATATATAATGATGTTACAGTATATTAAATTGATGAAATTATCTAATTTCATCAAAGCTTAATAGTTTTTTAAGATGTTGTTAGTTTTTAATAAATACCAGAATAAAGAATTCTGTTCTAATATCTATTGGTATTGTATGACTTTATGTCTTAAGTTATATAAAAAAAATGACTAACTGAAAGGCTGCGCAAGCATATTCTTAGTGATATAGAAGACAAGGGCCAGATGCTGAGTCAGTGAGAGTTTGGGAGACCATTGTTAAATGCAAAAGAAGAGCTGCTTTGTCACCTACTAGACAATGCCATAAAAAGGAACAGAAAACATTACAAAAACGTTCATTAAGAAAAAAAAATCATACTAAATCTTTTTGCTGTGAGGCTCTTTGTTTTACCAATAATTTTCCTCCAGAAGCGAATATTGGAAGAATGAATATCAAATACCATCATTGCGGAGTATTATATTTTCAAAGAGAATGAACTGGTGGAGACTTGAACCTTGCTGTCATAAAGGTGCTATTGTGCTGCCACCTCTTTTTGAATTTCATGATGTACTAAAACTAATTTTTCTTCGAAGGCATCCACTATCTAATGTATTTTTTGACCATATTTGCAAGTATAATGGTGCAATGGCATTTGCCTCAGTTGTGTCGAATATTGAATTACCTAATAGTTGAAGACCATATGTATATAAGATATCAGGACAAATGTATTACTTTCTTGGTCCAGTGCAGCCTGACACAAATAATGTTCCAACTTTCAGACAACTATATTTTATGGAAACTGCTAATACACAAGTGTCTCGAAGTAATAATCCTATTAATACAAACCTTAATTCTGTATTACAATCACTTTTGGATTTAATAATTCGCCAAGTAAGTCTCTTTGCACATGCATTTCAAATGATAAAAGAGGTGCAACAGGAGGAGCATAATTTAGCAATAGAACAACATTGCCAACTGATGGAAGTTTAGATGGTTTTTGAAAATGACCATTGTCTAGATTAATGTCGCTACAATGCACCACGTGTTAATGAGGTTGCTGCTATTTTTGTTGACTCAGGGGATTATGATTTTTCCTCTCATTGTCTTGCTATGCGACCTCACAGTGATCAGCTCAGAACAATCCCAGTAATCAATGGTAATTGTGACCCTATGTCATACCTGCTGCTATTTCCAAGAGGTGACAAGAGATAGCATCCGAATTTACCTAACAATCGACAGAACCAGGCAAAGAGATCAAGTGTTTCTATGTTACAATTTTACTGGTATCATATAGCACAAGGAAATAATTTTAATCCAATCTTATATGCCGGTGCTCTTTTTTAACAATACTTGATCGATGCATATGTTAAAGTTGAATCAACAAGATTGAATTATCAACAACAGAACAGAAGGCATTGTGAGCTAAAACCTATCATGGTTTATCAGATTATTTGGCTCTTGCTGCAGTGAAAAGAGGAACTATTGTGAAACGTGCCATTGTGTTAGCATCGAGCTTTCCAGAAAGCCCAAGAGCTATACAGCAAAGCTATCAGGATGCTATGGCAATATGCAGAGCATTTGGTAAACCTGATATTTTTTTAACAATTACGTGCAACCTAGCATGGAAAGAAATTACTTAGTCACTATATCCTGGACAAATTGCCGCCGATAGACCAGATATTGTAGGCAAAGTATTCAAGCTTAAACTTGATATGTTAATGGAAGATCTGTTAATAAATAAAATCTTTGGAACTATTGTTGCATAAACGAGAGTAATCGAATTTCAGAAACAGGGTTACCCCATTGCTATATGCTGCTAATTCTTTCTAATAAACATAAACCCGAGATTCTATCATAATTAATCAAATAGTTAACTGTGAAATACCAGATCCTACTATATATCCACGCTTATATGACATTATTAAAAAAAATGATGGTTCATAGTCCATGTGGCCACTTAAATCATGCTGCACCATGCATGAATAAAGATAAAACTTTATATACCAAGGACTATCCAAAAGAATTTTGTAATAAAACTATCGCAAATAACAATAGATATCTGAAGTATCAGAGCAAAGATACTGGCAGGACAATCATGGTTGGAAAATATGAGGTAAATAATCAATAGATCATACCGTATAACCCATACTTACTACTAAAATACCAAGCCCACATAAACGTTAAAATTTGCTCTACTGTAAAAAGCTTTAAATATCTTTATAAGTATATTTTTAAAGGCTATGATTGCGCAAAACTATGTCTAAAAACTATTGAGGGAAATCAAATACAAATACTTGACCATGATGAAATTTCAGCCTTTGCTAATTCCCAATATGTTAGTGCACCAGAGGTATTTTGGAGATTGAGCGAATATAAAATGCAAGAAAAATCGCATTCAATTATTTGATTGCCAGTACATCTGCCAGATAAACATAATGTATATTTCTAAACTGGAAATGAAGCTGAAGCCCTTGATTCATCACAGGCTCAGTATACGATGCTAACTGCTTGGTTTAAACTAAATGAACAGGATGTTGACGCAAGAAAAATTACATATCATGATATTCCATTATTCTATACTTTTCACAGAAAAACTAGAACTTGGAAAAAATGAATAAAGCATACAAAAAAAATTCTTGGCAGAATGTATACTGTTCCTCCATCAGATTTTGAGCGATTCTGTCTCAGACTTTTGCTTTTATATACGCCTGGAGCTAAAAGTTTTTATGATCTCAGAACTGTCAAAGGCATTGTATATAACTCTTTTCATAAAACAGCATTAATGAGAGAATTGTTAGATGATGACAATGAATGGGTTAAATGTATGAATGAGGCGATTCAATGGAAAATGCCAAGAGAGCTAAGGCAACTATTCGCAATGATACTAATTTGGGGCAACATTAACAATCCTTTACTACTTTGGGATCAGTACAAAATCCACCTTTATGAAGATTTAATTCTCAATTATAGTGCTGAAGTCACTTTACTCCTGACTTACCAAGATATCGATAAAAGATTAATACCAATCTGTAAATCTCTTAAAAAAGATTTTAACATATCACTACTGATAACCACTAATATACCTTCTGATGAAGAACATTTTGATAAAAGCCAAGAATACAGAACTGGGCAAAAGATGTATGCCCAATCAAATAATGCACAGCAACATATAGCTGATAAAATTATGGCTGTAATTAATGGACAAAGTAATGATAACAAATGCTTCTTCATCGATGGCCCGGGTGGTACCAGAAAGATATTTCTATACGAAACATTGTGTTATATATTAAGTGGACTTGGAATTGAAGTTCTTACTGTGGCTTGGACAGAAATAGCTGCAAATTTGTTGCCGGGAGCAACTACTGTGCATAGTCAGTTTAAATTACTATTGACTTTGGATCAGAAATCGTGACTACTCATATCAGCTAACAGTAAAGATGCTGAAATTATTAAAAAGGCAAAAGTTGTAATCTGGGATAAAGCCCCAATGGCTTTTGGTCAAGTCTTGGAGGTAATTGAAGCTGGGCTTCGAGACTTAATACAAACAAAACAACTATTTGGAGGTAAAATAATGATCTTGGGCGTGATTTCTGGCAAGTTCTGTCCACAGTTAGAAAAGCATCAAAAACACAAATATCTCAGTATGTATTAAATGCTCTCATCTTTGGCAACACTTTAATATCTTACAACTCTACTAAAATATAAAAACAAATGCAGATAAATTAGAGTTTGCCCATTGGCTTCTTCATCTTGGAAATAGAACTCTTCCGATACTTAATGACGAAATAGAGATTCCACCACAATATATTACAACAAATAACTTAATAACTAATGTTTTTGACAATGCTTTAAAGAATAGAGATGAGAATGCATTACTCTCTACAGTAATTCTATGTCTGACAAATAAAATAAGTCTCGAAGTTTGCAATGAGGTTATTCAAAAAATGCATAGACAAGAAAAAGTATTTTTAAGTGTTGACAAAATGGTTTGTGACCACAGTGAGGACCCAACTGAATTTCCTGAAGAATTTTTATATTCACTTACCTCTAATGGATTACCACCTCATCGCTTAACTCTAAAACAAGAAGCTTTTGTAATATTACTGCACAACTTAAATGTAAGCCAAGGCCTTTGTAATGGGGCAAGAATGATAATTCGACAAATGCATAATCATGTTCTGGATTGCGAACTTATGACCAGAAATGTTGCTGGACGTCGAGTTTTATTGCCAAGGATCAAACTTCAACTGAATGATGATTTTCTACTTTTTGAGTTTACTAGAACTCAGTTCTCCATTAGACTCACATTCACTATGACAATCAACAAGTCTCAAGGCCAGACATTTTGTTGAGTCAGCCTTATGCTTACAGAACCTATCTTTAGCCACGGACAACTGTATATTGCCTTCTCAAGGGCAAAAAGTTTATCATCAGTACAGATCAAACTTTCGTCCAGCTGCACTAGAACCAAGAATATCGTCTATAAAGAAATACTCTAAACGAGTAAGTATATAACATCGGGTGTTTTTTTTTAGTATGTTTTCTATAAACAAAAAAACCCCCAGAGCTACATTCTTTCGTTTCTCTTTCAGTAACCCAAGCATATTTTATGAGATACGATGGCAGCAACGTCATGGAGATAATAAATCAGTGAGTAAAAATACTTTTATTTTTATTTTGAAAAAGAATAGTTTATTTACATCATTTCTAACACATTTATTTTAATCTACGCTATTTTGCTATATACGAATCAAATATTTAACACCGAATATCGTACCTGAACATTTTCCCGATAGTTATTTCCCTATAAACATTTGCTTGATATTGCACAAGATAAGGCCAGCATTATTTGTTTATAAGCATAGTTAGTAAATTTTCACCCTATATGTACTATGCAAATGACCTTTCTAAGAAATGACTATCAGAAAAATGATAATTCATAATCTGATAAAATAAAGCGAAAACTTATATTCTGTACATATTTTTTCTCTACTAAAACTGCCATAAATTTACAATACATTGATTAAGTGTCTAACCGACTGAATTATGTAATGATTGCCTACTTACTCGGATACTATAGATTTTCCTGTTGTTATAAATTGTATTTCTTAATAATCAACGTATGATTGTGGCACGTAGTGATACATGCAAAGCTAGTTAATATATAATTGTCAATTTCTGTGAAAGTGATGCAAAAGTTATGTTTTTGATGCTTCAGAAGTATTGTTTTTGACGATTCTATAGTAAAAATATCAAATGCAAATTTGTGCAATACAACAAATCCCATGTGATTTCGCTCCGGACTTATAATGGTTTCGTTTCCTAGTTATATGTAATTAATTTTATTTGATTCAAATATAAGTGTAATATACTAATCGAAATGAAGTTAATCCGCAAAATCTTAGATCTGATTGGTCTGCACAACCCTAACTGTCATCTGTTGTTTGCCAAAAGATGATCTTTATTTTTACGTAGTAAACACGTGCTAAAACTTTGTATGCGTATTAGTGTTGTATGTGCGATTAGAAATTCTGCAATAGAAGCCTATTAATTAATATCCTGTGTCTAATTCAGATTATACTTCGTAATAATGTGCGGTTGCGAATAAAAATTTATATATATTTCGAGTATTTTTAGCTGCCACATGTATCTATTAACCAATGATTTTGGTTGCAATATAATTAAAATTAGCTTCTTTGTCAAATTAAGTATTTTATAATAAAGGAGAAAAAAGATCTTATTGCAGATATCTTTGATATAGTGATAGTTATAAACTATCAATTTATCTGATATATAAAAAGATCTGAAAAAACAAGAAAAGTCTAACCTAACTAAGAACAATGCAATGAGAATGTAAGTGATATATACTGCACAATACGAATTAACTGTAGTCGATAACAACTGGTTAAAGCATATTTAAAAAAAAATACCATTTTATGAACTTTTTTTTTTAGTCATTTACAAGTAAAATATTTAAATAATACTAATATTACTTTCTCTTATTTGATTTCTTATTTATGTAATCTACGATTATTTATTGATAAGCAAAATAAAACATTGTACATAGTGACTGCATAAAATTAACTACCCCAACATCACCATAAAAAATTTTTGGTCACACAAATTTTAGAATTATTAGCATCACACCAAGTGCAATTTTGCAACTAATAAAACGCTAATCTTAACCCTGTGTGATGTCAACTAAGTGAAATAATTGTTGAAGTAAGCAGCGCCGATATGGATATAATATAGAACTAATGTAGATCACCACATAAATTATTTTTTTACAACTTCAAACAAAGATATCTAAACAACTGTAAAATAAAATTTGATAATTTTTTTTTTTATTTTGATTCAACAAGTATGTGAATCAAAATAAAAAATTTTATCAAATTTAGGTTGGTTATTTGTCAAGATAACATCATAACATCGTCTAAAGTTTAAATGACAATATCTCAGACAACCACCAAACAAAAATCAATAAATCTTTTTTTATTTTGATTCTACAAATATGTAGGATAAAACAAAAAATTTCATTGAATTTGGTTTGGTTGTTGCCGAGATATCTTCATTCAAATTTTAAAAAAATTCTACAACGGGTTAATTTATTGACTAACTTTAAACGACAATATCTTGATAACCACCAAATCAAATCCCATGAATCTTTTTTTTATTTTGATTCTACAAATATGTAAAGAACTTTACATGAAATGCTGGGACAATAACCCTGTAAGTCGACCGGAAATTAATTCAGTTCTTGACGAACTTGGTTTGGTGATTGTCAAAATGACTTCATTTAAATTTTTAAAAAAAATTATACCACAGATTGAATTTAATAGATAGCTTAATTTATTGACAAACTTTAATCGAAGATATTTCATTAATCACCAAAACAAATTCTATAAAATTTTTTTTGTTATATCCTACATATTTGTAGAATCAAAATAAAAAAGATTTATCGAATTTAGTTTGGTGGTTGTTGAGATATTGTCGTTTAAATTAGTCAATAAATTAAACCGTCTATTTTAAAATTTAAACAAAGATATCTTGGCAAAAACCAAACCAAATTCTATGAAATTTTTTATTTTATTTCTACATGTTTGGATAATAAAAAATAAAAAAAAATCGTAGAATTTGGTTTTGTGGTTGCTGGAATAACTTCGTTTAAAGTTTATCAATAAATTAAACTGTCTATTAAAACTCATGTAATAGGATTTTTTTAAAACTTTAAGCAATGTTATCTCGACATATACCAAACTAAATTCGATGAAAATGTTATTATTTTGATTTCACATACTTGTTGAATTTATGTGGTGATCTACATTTCATATAGCAAAAAATTCATGTAACTGAAAAATTTTTTATGGTGTTGTTGAGGTAGTTTTCTGGTCATTTGCAGTAGTTAATTATATGAAAAACTGCTAATAAAATACCAAGTCGGAATAGTGTAAATAATTAAGAGATAGTTATATGACAATTTAAATTTGATTAATAATATATAAAACTGTAATTATTTTTTTGGTCTGGATCCAAAAATAATTACCTAAATAGAAAATCAGTAATCACAGGCTGATTTTTTTACAGGGCAATCCTGATTGGAATGCATCGGCATTAGGGTTAAGCTATACTGATTAACAGGAGCTATAGCGAAATTATCAGCTGAGCACTTTTTACTTAATGAACGATTATGATTTTCTTTAGTAAAATTTTCAGTAACTTGGGCAAAATTGCCCAATTCCAGCCCATTAGACTAGCAGATTTATAATAACTAGAACATGATCATGTGGGCAACTTTGCCGCCTGTTTTAATAATTATATATACAGAAGCAAAGTTGTATTGTGTGATCATAATTTGGAACTGCTAATAA